TTGGTGGGTTGCCACCTATTTTAAAATTTAATTAATTTAAAAGCAATGAATTATTACAATATGGGTATTAAGTTAAAGAGGTTTAAGAAAGATAACTGCTGGAAGTATTTTTGACGAGGGTGGCCTCCTATTTGAAAATTTAAACTCAGTCAAATTGTTAAAAATAAATAAATATTGCCATGTGGGTGTCAAACTAAAGAGTTTTAAGAAGGCTTACTGCCGAAAATATGTTTGAGGAGGGTTGCCATCTGTTTGAAAATTTAACTAAATTACATTGATAAAATAAATAAAATATTACAATATGGGTATCAAATTAAAAAGGTTTGAGAAAGATAACTGTTGGAAATATTTTTGAGGGGCTGCCACCTATTTGGAAATTGTAACTCAGTTAAATTGATAAAGTAAATGCAATGTTGACATGTGGGTGTCAAACTAAAGAGTTTTAAAAAGGCTTACAGTCTACCATGAACACTTCCAGAAATATGCAATATGAAAAGTTCGGTTTATATGGGAGGTGCCACACGCCATTCTCCAACCATGCAAATTTTTCTCCATGAGTATGGAATTGGTCTTATATATGTATATAGATATCACCATACCCAGTTCTAGTGCTCTACCACAAATATATGCAGTTTGAAAAATTCGGTTTATATGGGAGGTGCCACGCCCCCTTTCTATATCGAAACTTTTTTTAGCTATAACCATCCTTGGAAAGCCTGCAGTAGATTCCGAAATTTCAAAAAAATCGGTACGGACTTTCTCGAGCTTTGCGAACAGAAAAAAACGCCTTTCAAAATATATATTAGTACAGCTAGCCAAACTCTGCTTGTTTTGCGGGTTAAAACACTACTACCGATGAAAATCGATGGATAAATAAACAAGTTTGCAAGGGTTAAGTGAAAGTGCAATAATTTTTCGTATGAAATACTAGCAGGAAATTTAACAAAGCTATTGATTCAACAGTAAAAAATTTTTTTTTTATAAATTTTTCGATTACTTTTTAAATTACTTTGAGGAATGGATTTGGAAAAAAATCAATTACATTTTCAATTCCTTTCAAAGGAATTGGAAAAAAAATTACATTTTCAATTCCTTTGAAAGGAATTGAAATAAAAGAAATTACATTACTAGCACGTAATTTATTCCAATTACAATATGAAATTCCTTGTAATGGAATTAAAGAAAAAAACAATTCCATTTGAAATTACTTCAAGGAATTGAAAAAGTAATCGATTCCTTTGCAGTGAACTAAAGGAATGGAATTCTAATTACAATTACTGAGGAATGTAATTGTAATTGTAATGTAATTGCATTTACCCAGCTCTGATGAATAGTAATAATTTACCTTTTTTTCTAAACAAAAAATTAAATAAATATTCGATTCAAAATAGGTGGCAACCTTATTAAAAATATTTTTGAATTAAAGATCTTTAAAATACGTACCATGTGATACCCATATTATGATGTTTTAATCAATTTGTAACTAATTTCGAATAGGTGGCAACCTTATACGAGTCTTCTCGGAAATAATTCCTATTTAGATAACCTTAGAATCCAAAACATTATCTGTGTACAAAATTTCATCAAAATCGTTAGAGCCGTTTCCGAGAACCCTATGGATATATATATATATATATATATATACAAGAATTGCCCGTTTAATATAATAAGATATAGTATATACATAGGAAAAAACTTGAAAGTTACGGGGGGCCGAAACTATTAAGCTACCATTTTTTGGTATCTATTATTTTTGAATATATAAGAACAAATTTGGAAGTTTGGGGGCTTGAGCCCTCAGTGTCAAACGGAAACGTACAAAAGTGAAAAATGTCACTATGCACGGTTTCGAATTTCTTTAATAACACCACCATTTTGCATTAGGAAATTACGTTGTTTCCGTAACACCGAAGTTAGGGATTGTTATTACAAGTTGTAAGTTTATTCTCAATGGGAATATTCTAATACAAATCATTTGTATATTGAATTCCCCCAAGATTTAAAGCCATTCCTCGACTCCCCCGACCAATTCAAATCCCACCAAAATCTGGGAATTCTCTCCCGGTTGGCATCACTGGTACATATATTAAAAATATTTGTGTTTTTGTAAAATACTTGAATGATGAAATCTATAGCTAAAGCATATACATATTTGTACATTTTGGTACACAAAAAAAGAAGGAAGTGGCAACCATCTGTGAACGCAATAATACATTCATTATGTAAGTATGAATGGAGTTGTTTGAGGTGCGAAAGAGACGCCATTGCTCTTTGGTGTGCCATTTGCCAATCAGAGCATCGCGCCTTTCTCATTTGTATACTGATGAGTGTGCTGCTCTGCGTTGATAGGTCATTAACAGAAACTTGTTAATACTTGGGCTCTCTAACCGCATAAACCGTTCTTGAGGGTTGGCTGAAAACTTGGTTAGTCGGTTGCTGGCCAACTGATTGGTATTTACATTCGAGCTGCGCTAATTGTTGATGTTATTGTTTGTGTTTGCGTATTACTGGGTGCCATTGCAGCGTTTGTGTACTTTGTTTTGACACACACATAAATAGTACATACATATGGGTGTACTAGAGGTTTACGCCGCGGAACCACGCCGCCGCCGTTTTTTGCCATTCCTCACGTGTCGCCGCCGAGTTACGAAAATATCGGCGCGCCGGCAACGGTGTTCGGCGCCTAAGGATTTTGTACAACATTTTCATGGTGTATGCACATTGCAATATATCGTACTACTCGAATAAATAACGCTATTTTACGAAATTAAGATTACATTTTTAAAGGAGTCTTTTACCCAATTTGGGACACTGAATGAGAATATGATCTCCTTTATTTTTCAAAAAAGGCGTAACTCAAAAAAAAACGTAGGAAACACGTTTTTCGATCGAAGGCGTTTATTACAGTTAAGTTAGGGTCGAGCACTCGTAGCCAATTTTTTTCGGTACTATAACAATACTATTTTTTTTATATACCATAACAACAAGAAAGTTATAACACATCAAAAACTTTAACGCTAATATCTCAGAAAGCAGTTTTAACAGAAGTGCCCTTTTTGCATCTAACTCCTCAATTCTTGAATATAGAACAAACAGTTGATTTTCTTTAATAAAGAGTTAAATATTTTTTAAACAGGGTTTTAATAAATAGCAAAACCTTTCTTTGCAAATTTTTACATTCGTAAGTTATTTTATTCTGGGGTCTCACCGACGTATATACATAAGTACTAGCCTAGTACTAGTAGGTGGCTGTGTGAAAATTACGTTAGCATTCTTAAGTGGCGGTCAAACCCCAGGAAGGTTTGGCTCCATCGCATCGCAATGTTTTCTACACAGGGTCAAGGTTCCTCCTTTTTGTTAAAAATTGGTATCATTTTTCATTACATTCGGCTATCCTCTATAAGCCGTTTTTTAAACAGAGTCGAAAAGACCCGTTCTGGTGGGAGTTGATGGGTCTAACTGTTGAAAAAAAGTAGACCAACCTTGTTTTTAATCTATAACCCGCAAAAAATAGTAAGAACTCCGTAGGTTAACATAACGGTAGATAAGATTATTACAAAAATTTATTAATAGCGACATAAATTACTCCAATAACTTAAACTTTTTAAAATTTTTTCGTCTCTTTAAATTTAAATAGTACATACGGATCTGTAGATAACATACGGAACCGTATATGTATGTAATACCTCAGACCTTCTTCTGTTCGTCCATCAATCAGCGCCCGGCACTCAACATTTTAATTCAAGTAGGGGGTAATAATATTTAAATTTAAAACTACAGTAAAACCCGCTTAAGTACCTAACGAAAAATGTCACCTTTTTGAGGTACTTAGGCGGGTTGGGTACTTAAAAGAACCCGCTTAAGTACCTCGATGGGGGCACTTAAGCGATTATAATTATTGATGTAGTTACATCTTCTTGTTAACTTACATAGATAAATCCTCGAATAAAACATGAGCATTTAATGAAGTATACGTAGTTCGAAACCAAGATAGTAGCATTATTTAAACACATAAACAAAACCTTAAATTTTTTAAAGTCATTGATTATACATATTTATACATACAGACAGTGGTAGACATATCTATCATTTCGGACCAAATTCAAAATGATGTTATTCGCCACTTATATTTATTTATTAATTTTTAAGATTTTTCAATTCTTGTTGGCAGGCAATATTTCTTGCGATTTTTCTTGAGAGCTGCAAACAGCCCTGAAACCTAAGCTTAAAATTTTGTAGAACACTGAAAAAAAATCATCAAAATTTCAAACTTTTTTCTCAGAAGTGTTTATAGCCCATTCAATTTTAGTGTAATAACGTGCAGGTTTCAAGTAGCTAAAAATTACCGTTGGTATTTTGGAATTTGTTTGCCGAGCATGTTGCGGGAGCACTTAAAAAGGGAAAATTATAAGTAAAATGGTAACTGGAATACAAAAAAATTAGGTACTTAGGCGGGTTGGGTAAATAAGCGGGGAGGTACTTAAGAGAGCGATTATCTTTACATTACATTAAAATATTCACGGTGCCCAAAAATTTTGGTTCCTTATACGGGTTAGGTACTTAAGCGGGTTTCGCTGTAATTCACAATGAATTAAATAGCATTGGTATGACGAATGCCCAACGCTGACGAGATTACATGATAAGTAGCCTCATGGCTCTTTGGAATCTACCTTATGGGCAGTAGCGCCGGCGTTTCCAGACGCGCCGGCGTCGACGCCACGTCGATTATTTTTGAAGTTGACCACGCCGCCGCCGTAAAGCCTGTCGGCATAAACCTCTAGTATGTACCTACAGAATTCCGTGTTTTCATGACAATTACGATTTTTATTGTACATATTGTCCTTTTAGGCATCTACAAAGGCTGCGTGTTTGTTTGTTTAAACGGTGTATCACATAGGAGGAAGTCCTTTCATACATTTTGTACATATGTATGTAGATGCAGGCGTTAAAGATAATAGTCATGTGTGGAGGCATCGTTTACTATTTCGTAGTAGACAATCAATCGATCACCTGAGTGTGCGCAAATTGGTTTGAAATTTAGCGAAACTGAGAACGCAGCTCCGCAAATTATTTACAGTAATGTATTGTTTTATTCGATCGGAGTCAATATACATATAACATCGCTTAAGAAATGATTTTGAAAATCGCTTTTATTTTATGACTTTACTTATGAAAAATAATATACATGCATACGTTAAATAAATAAAATTGAATGAAAAAGTGACTATATAAAAGTATTAAGTGTTTGAAACATTGAACAGCAGTGTATGGGAAAACAAAATCAAAAGTTTTGAAACTGTGAGTGGAAAAACGAAGAGACCGAAAAATTAAATGAAATAGTGAAAATAAATTCTGAGGGTTTACGAAAGCTTTAAAACGAATCTTAATGCTGCTTAAGTTAAAATAAATACCTATTTCCGCATTTAAATTCACATGAATGTGCAAGTGATTAAAAAATGATGCAGGTATAGTTGTACCTACAGTGACGAGCAAAACTGTAACATGGAGTAACACTTTTTATTTCAGCCGTCGCTATCTTTCCAAGTTCTAACGACATTCATACTGTTATTGTATATTTTTATTGGTACATCTTTGCTTCCTCTGTCATAACGATTTGAAGTCAATTCAACAACATTAACAAAACCAGCAGACAAAAACGTAAATTAAGGCAAATGGTACAGTTTTGCACTCATATATTTTTAACAACTTTTTGACAATTTTCACAAAAAAAAAGGATTATTAACACAATGTTCAGTATTCTTTTGCTATTTTTAGTTCCTGGTTGCAATTTGGCATACCTAATGTGTATCTCTGTAAAAGTTCTGGAGGTATAGCCTCCCATATATCCTTGGTTTGCTTTCACAGCTCATGTACTCCATTGGACGGACTTGGATATTTAGTAAGCTGCGCTTTTAGCTGATTTCGCAAATTCTCGATGAGATTCATGTCCTCGGATTGTGGAGGTCATTTCAAATTGGCAAATTTTTTCTTTTGTTCCAGTCTTTGCGAACATGTGCAGTGCGTTTTGGTTGATTTTTCAGCAGAAACTCTAATTTTTTCGACTACATAGTTCAAATTTTGTTGAAATATGAACAGATACTGTTCCTTACGCATAATGCGTACTAACGGACCAACAAAATTTTTGAAATACAACCCCAAGCAATTAAGATCCTATCACTGTGATTCACAGTTTGCAGTACATGATGCGCTTAGGCTTAATTTGGGTCTTTGATTCAATACCATGCCCGGCTATCTGATTGAAAGCGATTAATTAAGTCTTGTTAGTCCAAATAACCCTCAATTAAATCTTAAAAATGTGTTCTTTATTGCATTTTGTAAGGCCTAACATATCCCAATAGGCAACGGTCCGGTTTTCGTGCGATGCAGCAAAACGCTGCCACACTCGCACATGTATTTTGATCAAATTTGCTTTTTTCTTCTTTTATGATCCATTTTGCTCAATTTGGCAATTTTTCGCCTCACTATCTACTGATTTGCATTCAATTTTAATACCTTAAGCGCTTCTGTAGTAGTGCCTGCAGCGCTACTTGCTACTAAGTTCACAAGATATCGGACTGTAATATATTTTGACAGACTTCCTTTGTCCTTAGTAACACTTTAGGCTATATTTTTTCTCAGTCTTAACATTTTCATGTGGCAAACTCCACAATTTTTTGCCACTTTCCCTGCGGTCCCGCCTTTTCGCAGTAAATCTATTATTTACATTTATGTTTCCTGATTAACCATATTATTTATTGGTGATCACTTCTTGAATAAATTACAATACAGAAAAAAGTCATCTGACTTCCAACTAAGCAAAAGATAACTGTAAAATGCAAAACTGAGAGTGTGTGCAAAACTGTAACATCTGCCTTAATTTACATTTTTGTCTCCAGGTTTTTTTATTGTTGTTGGATTGACCTCAAATCGTTATGAGAGCGGGAGTAGGGGTGTACCAATAAGAATATACAACAAAAGTATGAAAGTCGTTAGAACTTTGAAAGATAGCGGTGGCTGAAATAAAAAGTGTTACATCATGTTACAATTTTGCTCGTCACTGTAGGTACTTAACATATATGCGTCCATACATACACATCCGGTGCTCATTTTAAGAACGGCAATAAAAAAATCAAATCGAAAGATATACTCACCAAATTTTCAAAAAATTCTACCCAGTCTTAACGGAATTCAATGTGAAGAAGCAACTGGCATTACTACAATTTGGTGCCGGATTAATACATTAATAATACATTAGAGCCACTCTTCCGTTATCAAGCGCCCAGGCTTATGCCTTTCTTTGAAAAGTTTAGAACTCACAATAAGTTATTTTTCGTAATAGTGCTTAAATCTATTCCGGAATTTTATTCGCAGTTATTGAAAAAATAAAAATTGTCTTGCATTGATTACAAAAAAAAAAAATACCCTATTCCTGCTGCTGCAAAGCACTTTAAGACTTTGGCCACACAATGAACGAATGAGCGGCGCCGCTCAGGAAAAAACCTTAAGCTGATGCCAGATAAAACTTTGTGGCTTTGCGTGGCATTTATAACTTATAAGCGTTTCATCTGGCATCAGCTTTAATTTTTTGTTGATCGCTGAGCAGAAAAAGGAAATGGCAAAAGTAAATGGAAACATTTGAAGTTCCACGAGATATCCAAAATACAAAATTTAAAAAAATTTAAATCATCAGAAAATGAGTAAAAAAATAAACGTCTTTCAAAGTTAAACAAGCCTTTTATCAACACTAATTGTTTTCTTTACTTTTTTAATCTTAATTCTGCTAATTTGTGAAACAACTAGTGCCGGATCTAGGATTTTACAACGGGGTGGTTTGGGATTTATTATTTTATCACCTTTTTGAAATTAAGATACACTCTAAAAAGTATTTGTAAAACTCCAACTGAAAAGTATTTGTTTTTCATCCAGAATCTGGATAAATATATGGCGATCCATCTAGACCAGTGATGAGCAGCGCAGGCTGAACTCCATAAGCAAGTGCAAAAGTTTTGCACATGCTTATGGAGTTCTGCCAACGCTGCCCATGCCTGATCTAGACCTAGGTTTTTTAATTTTAAACAAAACGCTTAAAACAGAACAGGAACAGCGAGTAATGCTGACTTTCAAGTTGTGAATCATAGCTGGCTTTTCGACGAAGACTTCTGACTTCACATAACCCCAAAGAAAAAGTCCAGGTATGATATAAACACGCAGTAAATTGTTACCAAAATTTGTAGACAAAATTTGGGTTGGTAAAAAGGTAATTTTTTTCTCATTTTGGTAGATTTTTGTTGAATTATTTTGTTTGAAGGAACAAATAAAACTTTTCGTTCCCGCTTTATTTTGCGTAGTTATCTTATGTAAAGTCATTCGTAACAACCAAGAATATCATTGTTTTATGTAGAGTATTCAGCATATTGTATTTAATTGTGGATATAATTTAGCAAAACCCAAAGAAAAGTCACATACAATTCACCGAGGTATATAAAAACATTTTTTTAATACTGAGTCAACATTAACATCCAGATAAGCTACAAAGCAAGACTTCTCTTAGAAATTTTCCTTCGGTCATAAAAACGTGCCCTGCGAAAAAGTTTTAAAACCGGACCACGGAAAGAAGTGCCTCGAAAGGCCCTAAAGTTCAGTATTTTCATGCAATTTTAATAATTCAGTGTGGAATTTATTTTAATGGCACTTGATGTAGTTTTGCCCCCGATATCAAATATGGCTAACCTATTTTTAAACCTCTCCAAATTTTTAAGTTATTGAGGTTTTATCCACGTAAAATTACAATTTTCTAGGAACTCAGAACTTAAATTTTAGCCAAGTAAATTTAGATCAAATTGGTACGAAGAAAAAAAATTGTAGTAGCGAACTTTTGATGCAGTTTATTTCTATTTGACACGTAGATCATGGATCCACAGTCTCGCCCCTAAATTTCATACCGGAACATTCCGCATTCTTGGATTTTAGGTTTTTTGGGTGTTTGCAATTTGCAAGCTAGTTTTGCATTTTTCGTAAAAAACGGTTGTACACAGATTTGTAGATAACTAAATTTTTTTATACAAACTTAAAAAAATTATTTTTAATTTAAATAATTAGCAAAAAGCGCGAAAAAATTTTGCATTGTCACGGTGTTCGCCATTTTTCAACAATTTCTGATAACAATGCGTAGCATGTTCAAATGCCAAAGTTGTAGGGAACTTTTCTCTTTTAGTGTTGGGTTCTCCAGTGGCACAAAATTTGTAAAGCAAAATCTAATTTACAGTTAATTTAGATGCCATATTTGAGACGCCATGTTGAGTTTTTCAAAAGGACTAACGGCTTTTTCCCAAAAAAAAATCTCAATAACTTTAAATTTTAAGTTTAAAATACTGTAGCTATTTTTGACATCGGGGATAAATTAAATTAAATGATATTGAATTTCCCATTGACATATAGGTAAAATATTGACCGCTTTGTGAAAAATTCCATGAATTTGCTGAAGTTAAGGGCCTTTGAGGCACGTCTTTCCGTTATCCGATTTGAAAAATTTTTCGCAGGTCACGTTTTTATGACCAAATGAACACTTCTAGGGGAGTCTTGCTTTTTAAGACAAAGTTGCCAAATAAGGCGCAGTCTACTGCACATGCACGATGATATTCATTGAATTATTTTACAAAACTATAACTAAATAGGGGTGCGAAGGGTGTTATGGACCACATAAGGAAAAATTTCTGGTACGGCAAAATTCAACCCGAAACTACAAACAACAGGCGTCACATATATACAAGGAATAACGGACTGTAAAACAATACAAAAAATCATCCAAAATAAAAACATAACATTTGCACATAAACCACATAGAACGATCAATAGAATTTTTAGCAAAACAAAAGACGAAATAAACAAAGAACAACAACATAACGTGCTTTACGAAATCAAATGCAATGGTAAAGCTGGGGAAGCATGCAATAAAATATCCATAGGCACAACTAAGCGCGCTCTCGGTATTAGCATAGGCGAACATAAAACGGACGCTAGAAATAAGACACAACGTCTGCATTAGCACAACATTTAACGAATTGCGGGCATACAGC